GTGCCGACGAGTCGGCCACCCTTATAGATACCGTGACCGACCCATCGCTGGAATGGGTGGGTGCCGAGCCTCGGGGGACGGAGTCGATATACAGTCGGGATGACCGACATCCATTCACCGCTATTGAAGAGGGGCAGGACCAGCCCGACTTCCAGCAGAATTTCGTGGTCATGCTTCCGTCGACCAATGCAAGAATTTGTTCAATGTACCCGGACTACAGCTTTGCGATGTACGAGATCGCGTTTAAAGACTTAGGGCTGCGGCTGCCGTTCACAGATTTTCAGACCGGGGTCTTTACGCATTTGGAGCTGGCCCCGTCCCAGCTACACCCAAACTCTCTCGCCTTCATCCGGGCGTTTGAGCTGACGTGTCGCTACTTAAGGATAGGGGCGACCATCCCTCTTTTCTTTCGGGTATTTCACCTGCAGCGTCAGTCCCGAGGAGGGAAGCACAGCTGGGTGTCCCTGAAGCAGTCGAGGAGACTGTTTAGGATGTATATGGACTCCGTGAGGGGGTTCAAGGACAAGTGGTACGTGGTACGCCCTATTACCGACTCTGTTGTAGATTCCCTCTTCGAGGAGGAAGGGCCGGTCAGCGATGATGACGGGGAAGCAATGTTGGCCGACGACGGGAGCCCCGTGTTAGGTCGTAGGGCTAAGTTCCCGGTGTACTGGATGTCCCGACACTACGAGCATGGAACAGGTTATTTCCATACCGCAGTCGGGGATATGTGCACGGAAGATCAACGGTCGTATGAGGCTCTTTGTCGGTTTGTCGACAGTTTTCATCCCGCCCAATGGGTTACTCGGGAAGGGGACGATATCCTCGACAAAGACGGTTACCCGACGTTTGAGTCTCGCCCGATCGACACCAAGGCGTTGGTGGAATGTTCGACATATAGGCAGGCAGCCCGCCTGTTAGGTTGTTTGCTTGAAATACTTTATTCGTCATTTATTTATGCAGTTTGCTCGATACTGACTTTTCTTTTATTTCGTGCAGGTACGATGGCCAGCCGACATGAAAGGCTCCTGAAATTATCAACCGGCCAGAGGCGAGGCAAGAGGGACGTGCAGGCCCCGCAGACGACGAGAATGGGACCACCACCAAGTCTGAACGTTCCTCAGCCGGTGAGGGTGGATTCGACGTCGAGCTCGGGAGCAGCGTCAGATCCAGAGGTCGAGGAGATTGACCCCAGCGCCGTTTTGACGCAGAGGAAGAGGACCCGCGTGGAAGGCGGTTCGACTGTCGGGGAAGATGCCGGCGCTGTTCAATCTTTTGCCTTCCCCCCTTGCTTCGAAGAGGCGGGCTTTTTCGAGCGGTTCCCTCCGACAGTGGTCGCTCATGAAGCTGAGGCCATCAAGAGGATGACTAAAGAGGAGAGGAAGTCGCGTCTGGTCGCCAGCGTGGACGGGCTGGTTAAAATGGCCGAAATGGCTCTGGTGTTATCTGAGGATGCAGGGGATGCTGCTCGTGTTGAAGAGCTCGAGCAGGAGAAGGCGGCCTTGACTGCGAGCTCGCGGAAGTTGAAGGTCGCTCTGGAATGCTCCGAGGGGATGTTCCAAGAGCAGACCGCGATACTTGATGCCGAGAGGGAGATGCTGACCTTGGAAAAGGAGAAGTCGGGGAGGTTGACTGAGGAAGGGGAATTGCTCCGGACCGACAGGGATCGCTTGACTGCTGAAGTCGAACGCCTGGGTAAACAGGTTGGGGAACTGAATGCTGTCCATCAACCTGCTGAAGATGAGCCCGAGGATCTAGTGATTTTTGAAGAGTCGGGTTGAGCTTATCGCCCATATCTGGCTCCTCGAGGCGGACTGCGTCGGTGCTCTGGAAGACGGTTTCAATTCTGCAGTCGACCAGCTCTCGTTGCTAAACCCTGGCCTGGTCACCGAGGGTATCGGTCATACACACCGGGTTGTAGGTGGCGCGATCATTCCTCTGCCCGACTCTCCCAGCGTCGACAATGATGATAATGTGGAAGTTTGATATTTGATAGCGGGCCTGCGTGCCCTTGATATTTGAATTTGTATTCTTTGGGCCTGCGTGCCCGTTCATTGTATGTTTTGAACACCGCCGGCCTTCTTGGTCGGTTTAATATTGCTTTGTTGCCTTCGGGCGTTTATACCTTGTTATTTATTTTGGATTTTCTGCCCTTGTATGAACTCACATGCTTGTATGAATTTAGCTCAAGTCCCGGGCCCGAGGAGTGCCCGTAGGTGGCTTTGATTTGGCGAGCGAATATGCTCGTCTCCATTTGTGTGCAATCTCGGCCCTATTTCGGTTGGCCGGGGTTGCTTAAGTGTTTCGCTCGAGGGGAGAGATTTTCTTTTGACCCTTGTAGATGTTCCGTTATTCTTGATAGAATGTCGGGCATTACGGAGCGAGGTTGCTCAGTCGGGCGTGGAGCCCGTAGGGACGATTCGCCCTTGGCGTGAACTGCCCATCGCGAGCTGGGTGTTCTGCCTTATGGGTACGACGACGGTGGGCTCGGTACAGCTGTCCACGTCGGGCACTATCGATCGTCATCGTTTACCGCGCGATGCCGTGCCATTTTGGTCGTGTGTCGGGCCTGTACCTTAGCCTTAAACGAAATTGGACGTTTTTCCTCGTTGCCCGAGCGTGGTCCTTAGTGAGTCCCTTTGGACTGGGCCTTAGTAATGCTTTTGGGCCTGTCGGGCCCAGTCCAGAACAGTTTTGGTATTGGAAATTTTAGATTGCATGAATATGAGTTAACAACGGTAAAAGAATCTTTGGTTTTTAAAACGATTGGTAAAAGCATGTCAATATTCGAGTTCATTAATCTATTTTGTACATATCATAATGATCTAGCATGTGAACTTGTTGATGATCAACATAATCACATATCCTCTCAATATCGTTTATCTCTAAAGGGATATTGTGACTATTATTGTGTTTATTACTAGATAATGGCTCATGCCAACAATCAACACAATAATCTTAAAGCTTGATACAAGTGAATATCAACTCACAAATCTATGTCTAGAGTTTGTTCATTAATATAGATGACAATATTAGATCAAGGTTTGAAAAATATCTTTCAATGGTGATTCAAATCAAAGAGACAATAATAAGAGCAAAGATTAACATTTATATTGATCATAAATTGGTTCGCATGCAAAGGATCAAAAGTAATACATACTACATAGATTAACTACTTCTAATATTGACACAAAAGAAGATTTAGTTACCCATGATTATGGTAGCTTGAGCAAAAAAACAATGAACAAAGCCTTACAAGCATCAAACTTCAATGAATCAAAGATTGAGGCTTGAAAGTTTTGGATTTGATGTAGAAATGAAGAAAACTTGTTTTTTTAACCTAGAATCACGTTTTTAGAGTTGTTGGAAAGTGTTAGAATGCTGAAAAATAGATGTGCTTCCCTGAGATGGGTCATCTAATAGCAAGTACGTGTGAGAGAGTGTGTATTAATATTACAAGATATAGTTTCTCTAAAACTTTTTACCCACTACGCACTGCTCCACTATCAAATCTCAATGACCGTATCATTTGTGTTGGGTGACTCTTAAAAACGCGGCATTTTGTCCAGGTGTATTTGAAATTCGGATGCCCTATACCAATTACATCACTGGAGTGGTCGGATTATTATACAATTCAATCTGAGACTTGGTCGGATCATTTTATTGAATGGATGGAAGAGTACACCAAATTGAACAACACTGAAATAGAAAGAAAAAAAACAAGGAAAAGTCAAAGGGTATACCGCCTGTAGATTTGTCAAGAAACAATTACTTCAGATCTTTTAAGTAGTTATTTATCATTTTATTGTATATGACTTTTTGTTAATGCATTATGCCATGGAATATAAACATTTTGGTACTAATTAATTATGCTACTTCTTTTATGCTTCTGTTTCTATTTTTTAATACCATGAATGTTACCGGAAATGTATCTCCGAGAAAAAAATATGGTGTAACCAGAAATGCATGTCTGATTTGTCAACAGATAGATTTTGTGTGGTCAATAATATCCTCCTACTACTATAAATAAATCCATTCCTCATGTTATTTCATACCAAAACACAAAAAAGCATAATGAATATTGTTTGGCATCTTAGAAACGTTCACTTTACCAGCAATATACCATCACGAGAATTTAAGATCACCGAGTACACCCATATTGAAGATTTGCAATACTTATTGTGGCACCTTCTACCATATGGCGACGATCGAAAAATTGTTAAGATTGTGTATCGCTCGCCATCCATTGACAACGAAGGAAAGCTTGAGTTCATTAACCACGAGCTGAAGACGAACGCAGATTTACGGACTGTGTGGAGTACCTATTTCGGTTTAAAATCGAAAATTCCGATCGAACTCGGTGTGATGGTTTCATGAACGGTCGATGAAATTATAAACATCTTACAACGTCCATCTGAATATTGAAATATAATGTTTAATGTATATTTATATGTATAAACATATAGGTGCGTCTTGAAAATACATATCTGATTTCTAGAAACATTTATGTATTTTTGCGCGATGAAATAGAAATATATAGAGTTCTTTAAGAATCTTCTTTAAACTATCATATGATTGAATGATAAGCTAGGGGTAGATAGTATCAAAAATTATCATTTTAATAATTTGACATTATTTTATGGCAATGCCAAGATCGTGCTTACTTTTAAATCAACATTATTTGATTAGTTTTACTAGGAGACAACCTATGGCTTTAAATGAGACTTTTGTAAGGTGGAATTAATTCCCTTAAGTTAGTCCGTTAGAAATTAAGATATCAAGATTTTAAAAAAAACTATTATGTTTTCAATCCTATGACACTAAAATAAAGATAAACATTAGCTAGAGAAAAACTAAAATTTGTCAGACCAAAAATTCAATAAAAATTCTCTCTTCAGTTAAGCTACTAATGACCTATTCATCAGCATACTCTTCTCACTAATTTATGTTAATGAGTAAGAGAAAGATTTAAATGTCAAGTACTATCTAAGTAACTATCATTAATTTTGAATGTAACATCTTTTATTGTTCTCTATCCTTCCTATGTTGTTGGTTTGATCACCACCAACATTCTTAACTTTTGTCTTCAACAAATGTGGTTTCAGCTTATTTACATCTGATTGTTGAACTGGTTTCAGAAAAAACTCTTCAGCTCCTTCTTCTAGACATCTGATTCAATAAAAAAATAAAAGAAAATTAGGTGAAATTCCGAATTTGAAATTTCGCGAAAAATTATAAGTTTTGTTAAGTTGATTCTATTTCTCTTACCTGTTGATTCTTGATGGAACATTCTCTGATGACATAATCACAACTGGTATGTCTTTAAGAGAATTAGATTCCTGCAAATCATTATACTTTTATTATACATTTAATTCCGAAATCAGATCCCGCCAATTCAAATTCTATTATGCATTCAAATTTTGAAGACATTTATAGAAATTTTTTATGAAATACAAAACTAAATTAATTATACATAAAGATCTTACATAAGCACTTTTCAAATGACCTATGAATTTATTTATTTTATCTACCTTGATTTTTCTCAGCAGATCATAGCCTGTCATTCCTGGCATACAATAATCAGTTATAATCAGATTCACTTCCACAACCTGCAAAAACAATTAAGCAAAATGATTAAGGATTAAGATCATAATCATTTAAAAAATTGTTCATTAAAAATAATTAAACCATATGTATATTATAGTTAATCTAAACATTTAGCAACGGAATTATACCTGATCTGCTTCCGTAGCAATAGATGAAACCTTTTCATTCCTCACTTCATCTTCAACCAAACCAAGAAACTTCAAAGCCTTGCTACCAGAATCAACCACAGTAACTGTAATCACAAAACATAACGAATCAAAATTAGCCATCAGGATTAATAATAAAAACATTTTTGAAACCACCCATAACTATATAACAGTTTGAGACATCTGTTGCGAATTTCTAACACTGCGGTTTCAGGCATATATTATTATAAAAGGTATGATAAAAATATATTTGAAACCGCAGTGTCAGATTCATCAACAAACGACATATGTTTCAAGCTATAATAATAGTTTGAAATATTTGTCGTGAACATCTTATACCAGTATTCTATATTAATGATAAAAATATGTTTGAAACTGCAGTGTCGTGTCAGATCCATTAACACGTGACATATGTTCAAAGCTATAATAGTTTAGAATATATCTGTCACGAACATTTTACAGTGTGGTTTCAAACGGATACTACCTAAATAATTACCATGAAATGAAGAGGTTTTGAGGAGTCTTTCAATCAACATTCTATCAATAACACTATCATCAACAGCCAGAACATGAAACTGTGCCATAATTTGAATAGTGAATTATGAAAGTAGAAGACAAAAATGAAGTTAAGAATGTTTGAGGAAATAAAGGAAGAGAGAGATGGTAGAAGGGTGTGTGGTGTGATGATGAAAAAGATGTGATTGAGGATGTCAGATTTAAAAAGGGTGGACATCATATTCGAGGAGATACAAAATCCTGTTAGGAAATCTGACAGTTTGGAAAGGAAGATCCTGACAGATTTTATTGCAGAATCTGACAGATTTTGTTTGTTTGATTTTTGAATTGAAATACAAGCAAACATGGTCCTCTTATTCTATCAAACTTTTAAATTAATTCTTATTATGCGTTATATATATATATATTGAGAATAATAATTATGTATGGTCAGTGTAAAATATTTTATATAATTAATGTATTTCAATTATTTATGAATAATATTTTTTATGTGATTAAAAAAACTTAAATATTTATAAAATTTTAAAGATTACGATTCAATAACAGTATAAAATTATTTTACGTCATCAATATATTATAATTGAAATCATATATATTTTTGGTTTGAATATATGAATGAGTAATAATCATTTATAAATTTATGGACATTATTAAATTTAAATTTTGATAATGTTTATTGGGAATTAAATGAGAGTTATTAAAATTTCAAATCGATTAAAAATAAAATTAAAAATAAATATATTAGAAAAAAAACTCATACTTTATTATATTAAAATTTTAGTTGAATATGTAAGAACAATATCTTATTTATCATAGAGTAATTCACGATTACGATGGTATGAGTATTTCGATTAAAAATAAAAGAAATAATAGATAGGTAAGAGAAATGACTAGATTCTCCTGATTTAAATAATATTTTTTATATTTAAATAAAAATTAATTTAAATGATATATTTTAAAATAATATTTTAAGTATTTTATTTTTTTATTATAATTTGTTTTGAATCTTAAAACTGCAATAATTACTTAAATTTGAAATTATTTTAAATAAATGTTTGTGAAGATTATTTTTAAAATATGTTTTTAATAAAATTTGTGATTTTAACTGTCTTTTTATTTTTCATAATATATATTTATACTCTTTGATGTCAAAATTAATTTTTGAAGTTATAAAAAAATTAAACAAAATTAATATTAAAAAATTAGTATTTTAATAAAACATTTTTATGAAAAAATTAAAACTAAAACAAAGGGATCTATAATTTGACATAAAATATATTATCAAAATATTATTCCGACAAATTCCTCACATTTTCAAGGGTCAGCTTAAGAAACTTTCAAAACAATTCTATTTGACACTTTTACTTTTTATTTTTTGAAGCAATTTGGCACCTTTACTTGGGGTGTGCTATATACTATTCACTTCACACACCCCAATATCTTTTAAAGTGTATGGTCTCAATTACATTTCATCCACGTGCATGACCTGTTTAGCACTATGACCCACCTATTGATACAAATTATTACTATTAGTATGTCTATAAATAGAAACTTTGCCGACTTGAATTTCTACAACACTTTATGATATAACTCATCTAAGGATGTCCTCACCAATATTCTCCTTCTCTCCTATAATGCATGATTAACTTAAAGCTGGTTTAATATCATTTTATCTTCTATCATATAGATAACTATTGATTTAATACCATTTTGTGTGTTATGAATATGGTGTACTATCCTTTATTTACAGGGTTTGATAAGTATTTTTGAAAAAATGTTTGATAACATTGAACGTAGGTTGTGCTCAAACACATACAGATCAATTTCAAGAAGAAATTTGGTGGAGTTACTTTAATTAGAGATTTGATTATGGGAGTTGTCAAAGCAATATATTTTCAAATACGCAGGAAAAAATGTTTGAATTGAAGAAAGTTGATTCAAAGGTTTAAAAGTGGTTGATGAATGTTTCAATAAATATTTGGTGTAAACATGTTTTTAACATTTACCCTATAGTGTTGCCATGAGTCCAATAAAAGGGATGAATATGTGGTCCTAAGGTGATGTAGAAGTTTTGCATCCTCCTTTGTACAAGAATGGATCTGGCATATTAAAGAAACTTGGGTTTAGGGATTTAGGTGAGGCTGATTCAAGACTCAGGAGAGTTGGAGTGACTTACAAATGTATCAAATGTGATAAAATGGGGCATAACTCAAAAAGATGCAAATAAACAATTCAGAATGCATATGTTTTGAAAAGAAAAACAATGTTTCATTTATTGATATGTTGTTGTAATATCCTGTTACGATATAATGTTTCTTTTTGATATTTTGTAGATATAATGTTTCTTTTTGATATTTTGTAGAGAAAGACTCTTAGATACAACTACATACCAAGTGATGCTCCTTCAGCTGAACCAAGTGATGTACCTCCAACTGAACCAAGCTCAGACTGAGACAGTTAGTGAAGTTGCTACTGAGACAATTGGTGAAGCTGCTACTAAGACAACTGATGAAGCTTCTATGGATGACATGTATTACATAAACATTGGAAACATTGTTGAAGACATAAGAATTTTTGTAGTCAAGAAAAATCCAAAGGCGATCGAATACGGTCGTAGGCATAGATTTAGTGTGATACTTCTTCCAGTCGAAGACGTTCATAGATATTTTCTGGCTCAGATTAAATCAAGCATGTATTTATTCTGATACTTATTCTAGTTAAAGTCAAGCATAAATATCTGCTGGCTCGGTTTAAATCAAGCGTAGATTTATTCTGATACTTCTTCCAGTAGACATTTTTCTGGCTCAGCTTAGATCGAGCGTAGATCTATTCTGATACTTCTTCCAGTTGAAGATATTTTCTAGCTCAGATTAAATCGACCATAGATTTATTCTGATACTTCTTCCAGTTAAAGTCAAACATATACATCTTCTGGCTCAGATAGAACCAATGGTAGATCTATTCTGATACTTCTCCCTGTTGAAATCAGTCGTAAAAATCTTCTGGCTCAGTTTAAAATCAAGTGTGTATTTATTCTGAGACTTCTTCCAGCAGATATTTTCTGGCTCAGTTTAAATCGATCATAGATTTATTCTGATACTTCTTCCAGATAAAGACGAGCGTGGACATCTTCTGGCTCATATTAGATCGAGCGTAGATCTATTCTGATACTTCTCGCAGTTGAAATCAGTCGTAAAAATCTTCTGACTCAGTTTAAATCAGGTGTGTATTTATTTTGATACTTCTTCCAGCAGATATTTTCTGGCTTAGTTTAGATCAAGCTAGATTTATTCTGATACTTCTTCCAGATAAAAACGAGCACAAGTATCTTCTGGCTCAGATAAAATCAAGCGTAGATTTATTCTGATACTTCTCCTAGTCAAAAAAATCTTCTGGATCAGATTAAATCAAGCATGGATTTATTCTGATACTTCTCCCAGTTGAAGACATTTTCTGGCTCAGATTAAATCAACCATAGATTTATTCTGATACTTCTCCCAATTAAAGTCAAGACAACATTTTCTGGCTCAGTTTAAATCAACCGTAGGTTTATTCTGATACTTCCTCCAGATAATGAATATCATGGATATCTTTAGGCTCAGTTTAAATCAAGCCTAAATTTATTCTAATACTTCTTCAAGTTGAAGACAGGTATATACCTCTGCTGGCTCAGATTAAATCGAGTTTAGATTTATTCTGATGCTTCTTCTAGTTGAAGACAATGTTTACTTCGGATGGCATCTCTAAGCCCATCTTTGATGACTCGCCGTCACCTCTCCAAATAGCATCTATAATCCAATTTCCGGTACAATCAACCAACAACATTACGTCTTGCACATGCGAGTGTAAATTTATGGGCACTTAGATGTTCAATCCTCTCCTACCTTCAAGTTACGAATGCTAGACATGACGAGCTAACTCTTCAGGTTTAAGAAGATTGAACAGGGGCAGTTGTTGTACCCCAAAAATTTTCCCATTTTCTTCAAGGCATTCTTTCAAGGCTCCTCAAATACTCAATAATCTCAAGGGATGACCAGTCAAATGCTGCTCCTAAGCCAAAGGTTTACAACTAGGGTTTTGAGTTTCTCAGAGAAATTTGGGTTGCAAAAGTATCAAGTGCTTTCCATGGGTCTTTAACAATGTTCATGTCAAGTTCCAAGTCTTTTATCACAAGTTTGCTCAGTCAATAGCTCAGATGATTGAAAATCAACTATATTGGGTAAAAAGTCAACCATGGTCAACATACAGTCAAACTTCAAGATTTTTGGTCAACATCAACATTTTAAAGTGATATTCATCATGTGATCAAGGGTTGATCATGATTCCCCAAGGAAATCTCTTAAATCATCAAAAGTCAAGAATTGTCAAATTAGGGTTTTCTTATGAGAAGTCAACTAAACTTTGACCAAGCATAACTTTCACATGCTTCATCAACTTTTCTCCAACCAAAGTCCATCTTGAAGAAAATTCAATTCTCTACAACAATGTTTTTATGCTCAAGTCCAAAAAATGCTTCATTTGAAAGATATGAGCTAATACATTATAGGTCATTTTCAAAAGTCAACAAAAGATACTTTTTGTCAAAGCAACTTACATCAAGATAAAGTCACCAAATGAAAAAAATGATCAAAAGAGAAATTGTAGAGGACATCTTGAGATTTCCAAAAAGTACAACCTCACCTTCAAAAGATGAGAATTGATCATGTTATGAGTTGCACAAGTTGGGAAAATTCGAAGAAATGCATGAAATGCAAGATGAGCAAATTTGAAATCTTTAACTAATGGGCTTAGCTTTTGGTATTCAAACATATTCACAATACCTTAGAGGACCTCTAAATCTATTCATATATTTCTTTGAATTTTATTTATATTTACTTTGATTTTATTTAATTTAAAAACAAAGTAAATTAAATAAAATAAAAAAATTATGGGTTAATGCATATGGGCCTGGTTTTTGGTCAGCTTTGAGGCCCAAGTACAAGCCAGCAACATGACAACTCCTGTAAGGGACCAAGGAGGCAAGAATATTTTAAGTTGGAAGGTTTTAAAGTTGTTTAATTTTTGTTTA